GTGATCACATCTGCTGTGCTGCATTCCCCATCTTTTACCACTTTTCATGTCATGTCCCATGTCCAGATTTTTTACTTGCTAATAACTTCCAAGTAAAGTGAATTAAGTTGTTCATGAACAAATATCCAACCACTTGTGATGCTTTAGACATTATAGTGAATTGGGGCCAGCATTGTGGTACAGAGGGTCAAGCCTCTGCTACAATGCTGGCATCCCATCTGAGTATAAGTTGGAGTCACAGCTGTTCCAATTCTGATCCAAAACTCTGCTAACATGACTGGAAACACAGCAGAAGTTGGCTGAAATACTTTGGCCTCAGCACCTACATGAAAGACCCAGATGAAGTTTGTGGTTCGGGATTTCTGCCTCCTGGCCTTAGCCCCTGGGTGGGGTGCCCAGCAGATTAATACCACTGTGTTTCTGTAACTCTACCTTCCAAATAAACATTTTTATTGAAATGAAGAAATGATAGTGAATAAAATTGAAGTTTTACTTATTTTGAATTTATTGTATTCACCATTGGCAAATCCCCAAATTAATAACAAGTCAATACATAATTTGAGATGCTGAAGAGATCAAATGAATGGGAACCAGATTGACCTTGTGAGAAATTTGATATTTTTAGATGTTTAGCTGTCAGAGCCACTGATTTAACAATTGTTTTAAAGTCTTGAAAAATAGGAACTTTTCTTGTAAAAATAATATTATCTTGCAAACTATTGTGTCACTTTTCTTAAAGAGAACATAGGGCTTGATTGTCCAAGTGTTGTCAGGACACGGCAAACCAACAGAGAGCTGGAAAACTGTGTGATCACGTTGTCACTAGACTCTGTTGAACACAACCGCGAGAATTAAACCTGGGAGGTTTAACCGTGCCGTGCCACTACTTCCTGCTCACCCCAAAATCTCCGGGGGATCTGCGGTACCATTGCAGTTACCCAAAGCCGAAACAGTAAATACAGACCACAGCTGATCCTTCCAGATCTAAGTACGCACGGCTCTGTGCCTGACATTCCTTAGCATTCCTTGCATGGATGACATTTAGAGGGAGGTTTGTTTTTGTGTTGACACTATCCCTCGTGTTGGTTAGTGGCATTGTCCTGAAGATCCTAGGGAACCGTAAGCCAGCAGACGCAGTGAGAGCTGAGATGCACAAAAAGAAAAAGCATACTGACCCTCTTGACAGCGCGGATCCTTGTGAACATCTGTTCTAGAAGGCTGAGAGCACAGCCAGGCACTGCGCAGGCCCGCTGCAGTGATCCTGAAGGACAGCAGGGCAAGGAGCCGTCAGCTTGAATCCGAGGGAGGAAGGAAGTACTCACCCAGAGATGAGCATCACAGCACAATCAGGAGGAGCAAAGCTTTCCTCCCAGTGCCAGTCACCTCCCCAGGCCCTCTCCCCACCAAGGCTTTGTTTTCATGGGCTTTGTTAGGATGGCAGACCTGCCCTCTCCTTGCACATCGCTGTCCACGTTCTGTAGCAAACCCCGTGTTCTGAATCAAGATGAGGGTTGTAGAGTCTCCATGTGGGGACATGGAGCAGAGCAGAATCAATTCCTGTCACTCACACACTCAGAGGAATGGGATTATGGATCAGGGGGAGCTGCAGTGCTCTAATCTTAAAATCAATACAGAAAGGAAGTTGAACTTGGGGATTCTATAGAGACTGTAATTTGGTTTGCTATGAGCTTTGCCTGACAGAATGCAATGGCTCCTTCCTTTTCGTCTTCTAATTATTTTCTGGAGAAAGGGCAGCAGGGAGGGGAAGGGGAGAGAAGACAAGAAACCTCTACCACCAAATCATCTTGAATAAATGTGCAAATATGATTTACAATTCCAGCTAATACTCTGTTGTGTGGAGAGAAGCTGTCTGCTTTTGCTCCTTTTTATTTTTAGAAAAAATTCAGCCAAAACTCTGTACCCTGTAGTGTGCATTTCAGCATGATAAAATGGTTTTAATTCCTTCATGGGTCACTGTTAGACTGGAAAAAATAATGTTTAGCGTTTACCTTTGTGGCCCAAATCTACTACAGTCTGTGTAATTTTATCATTGGCCAAAGGATTCCAAGTTGGTGAGCTTGTGTTTGAGTGTAATTCTCCCTTTGAAAGAGGCACGCGTTAACATTTAAACAGCTCGGTGTTTTCTTCATCGAATACTTGGACCGTGTTTGTGCCTCTGTTGGGAGTCAGGTGGCACTGGTTGGCTGCACAGCATCGCAGTGAGCAGCTGGAAGACAGGCAGTCCCTCTCCTTTGAGTATTCCTTTGCATGTTCCTTCAGCTCATCCTGCAAACCTACGGAGGCTGTTTAGGATGCCGCTTCCACAGTGGGAACGTAGGTCTGAAACGCTGCAACCTTGGGGCAGACTGACCCAGACAGAAGCAGAACTAGTTGATGTAAGTGAAGAGCAGGAAGAGCAGAGCCTAGATCCGGCTTGGTTTACAGTCATCGTTCTACACTTCTTTCCCCATCTTTCAGCTCACAGTGATAAGACCCGCCTGACAGGTAGGCAGTGTTGCAGTTTAGTGAGATGAGCCTGTGAAATGCATAGCCCTATGTCTTGCACGTGTAAGAATTCTGTAAATGTTCATGATTATGATTATTTTGAGTCTCAAGTGACATAACATGCTGTGATGTGAAAACCTTCTGCAAACTGTAAAACACAATGCAAGTGTTAGTTTTTCTTAATGCATTGATATTTGACACATTTACAATAAATTATTGATGATTTTCTTTCCTCTTTGCTGCTTGTCATAGCCCTGTGCATGATAAATCAGGTTTCATATGATGATACATTTTCTGTCTTAAAAGCATCAGGGGGCCCATCACAGTAGCCTAGTGGCTAAATCTTCACCTTGAATGTGCCAGGATCCCATCTGGGCGCCGGTTCTAATCCCAGCAGCTCCACTTCCCATCCAGCTCCCTGCTTGTGTCCTGGGAAAGCAGACAAGGATGGCCCAAAGCCTCAGGTCCCTGCAGCTGTTTGAGAGACTGCCAGAGAGCTCCAGCTGACTTCAGAGCTTGCAAAGGATGTGAGGATTGGCAAGAAGACCAGAAGAGATGTGGCCCACTATGATGAGCTCATAATGGACAACTCAAAAAAGCTGTCTTTATTTATACAGAAATCATTGCAGGCTTTTATACCACATCCAGTTGTTGCATTTTTACTTCTTGGATAAGAGAATGATTACAAAAACAATTCTGAAAAACACTATTTTATTCCAAAGAAAATATTTTCAGCATGCCATTAACCTGAAGTCCCTGGCTGAAGCCAGGAACCCCATGGTTGGCAGCACATGCAGTTAGTTACGAAGTGACAGGTGGTTTGCTTACGCCCAGAGTCAATTTTCCTTAAACCTAAACTAATATTACTTAACATATCAAGAATACAGAACTAAAAAGAAAACATATAAATGAAAAGCGTTTATAAATGCATATATCATAGATGATTAAATCTTATAATCAGTGGTATGCTGATTATCATCACCTTCACCTAGTACTGATTCAGTTATTTTTTGTTAGTTTGTTAAAGGGCAGTGAAAAGAATCAAGGCAACCCAGCCTTTCTATGAATGGAGGGCCTTTGCAACAAACTTCTTATGTTTTCAAACTATTTTCTTTCCCTAAGTATAAGTGCCAATATAAGGTAGAAGTTTTTAAAGATTTATTTTTATTATTTTTTTTTTTCATTGGAAAGGCGGATATACAGAGAGGAGAGACAGAGAGGAAGATCTTCCGTCCGATGATTCACTCCCCAAGTGAGCGCAACGGCCAATGCTATGCCAGTCCGAAGCCAGGAGCCTCTTCGGGGTCTCCCACACGGGTGCAGGTTCCCAAAGCTTTGGGCCGTCCTCAACTGCTTTCCCAGGCCACAGGCAGGGAACTGGAAGGGAAGCGGGGCTGCCAGGATAGAACCGGCGCCCATATGGAATCCCGGGCGTGCAAGGCGAGGACTTTAACCGCTAGGCCACCACGCCGGGCCCGAGGTAGAAGTTTTAAACTATTCTCCCCTGGGGGCTCCGATCTGTCTCGCTTTAGGAGATGCCCCTTGCACTTGCTGCTTTACGTGGCAGGAAGCCAAAGTGTGTCATTCCGTGTGTTGTAACAGTTTGGGGCTGCACAGTAAACAAACTCTTCTTTGTACCTCCATGATTACCGTCTGTTCTAAGATATTATCAAGCCATTTCTTATGGAGAAGATCACACATCTTAGAATCAGTTCCAGGTCAAAAGTGGGCACACAGTAAGACATTTAGGAACAATATAGGCTCAGTAGTGCTGCTGTAAGCTTTCAGCTGCGTCTCACTGTCTTAAGTTGCTAGAGATCCTTTTACCATAACATGATAAATCAGCTTCTGGTGTTAAACCAGTTACAGAAGTCATTTCACATTTGCAGTAAAACAACAACACCCTCAGGAGAATTCCATGAAAAATCAGAGGTGACTGTCCATACAATGGGGTGAGGTAGCAATGAGGTGATTAGAGAGGCGTTCTGCTGGGCCTTGCCATGCAGCCAGAAACAACTCCTGGCCTTTCTATCCAAGGAGCAGTGCTTCCTGCAGGAGACCTGCAAGACGCTCCTGGCTCTTGCCTCTGGATCAGCTCAGCTGCAACCTCTGCAGCCTCTTGGAGAGTGAACCCCTGCATAGAACATCTTTCTCTTTGCCCCCTTTTCTCTGTAAACCTGCCTTTTCCAAAAAAATAAATCTTTGTTAAAAACAAACAGAAAATAAGAGCAGGGATGTCATGTGGGTGAGAATTCTGTGGAACCCAGCTGGCAGTTCCTTCCCTCTCCTCTCAGGGCTGTTGAAAGACCAACCCTGTCCAAAGCACTTATTTTGTTGTTCTGCTCCATGTTTTCATGTCCAGCTTTTCCAAGCAAAGCTCAAGTGTCTTGAATTAGTGCATCCTTTCACGTGTGCTGTCTTGTGCTCTGCGTTAGAGTCCAGGAATCTCATGGTCCTTGATCCTCTCTTTTTTTTGTTTGTTTTTGTTTTTCCAGAGCACAATCATTGTGGAAAAAACGGTGCAAGACCTCATGGACCTGATGCATGATTTGAGCGCATATTCGGATCAGTTCCTCAACATGGTGTGTGTGAAACTCCAGGAGTACAAGGACACCTGCTCAGCGGCTTACAGGTACAGCTTGCCCTGGGGCTCAGGCCGGTCGCTCGGGCGTGCAGCTGTGCCTTTGCTGCCTTCAGCCCTCACTCACTGTGGTGGAGAAAGCTCTTCCCTGAGTTTGTCGAGGGGCGCGGTGAGAATGCGTCCCGCACCAGCAGTGCTGGAGACCTTGCATGGTCTGGCCAAGGGAAGCTGAGGCACAAAGGGCAGAGCCGCTGAAGACTTTTAAGTATAACAATTTGAAATTCTTCATATTCCATAATAGAATTTACTTTTCATTTTTAGCAAATATGTTCCTGCGAATGTTTAAGCTGGAGCCCTCATGCTGTCACACAAGGATAGTTTCTCCTATTTTCAGCATCTGTGAAAATGAAAGCCTAGTAAGAACTTGAAAACCAATAGTTACCCTCTCACTTCCTTTCTTTGGGTTCGGAAGTCTCTCAGGGCTTCTGGAAAAGATCACAGCACTTCTGATAGAAGGCTAATAATACACTCAAATTATGGTCTTGTTGACAAGATGTGAAAGAATTACGGAAAAGCATATATGATAAAATATTAATTACATCTGAAGTAATTAAGGCTAGATAGTATCCTTAGACTGCCGATTCAGCACAGAATGTTAAGGAAGAAAGAGTAAAATCCACGAGACGCAATGATATCTGGTGGTGAGATGCCTGCTGGGCGGCTGAGATGTGGAGGCGGGGAGAAGTCCTGCAGGCCTTTCGGGGTGAGCGGGGTGCAGAGGCAGTGCCCCTGGGTGGGGGAAATGCAGAGGTTAACACCCTGACCTCTGAAAGGGACTTTGACTGGAGGAAGTTTGCTTGTAGAAGGTTGCGGGAGCTAATACTGAATAAAACATGACCAAATAAGTAAGACGTGGGAATGTACGTGTCACACAGTAGATAATCATTAGTCATTTTAAGTGTGTGGGAAGCAGTGTTTAGGGAGGTTTAATTTTGCAGAGGGACATAACACAGACCAGTGTGTAGCCAGCCTCCTCCCTCATTTCAGCATGAGTCACTCAGCCAGCCACATGGATCAGCTAAGGAAACTCAGCCATCTGTTGAGATGTACGCCCAATAATGTTTTTGACATTTTTGTTCAGTAATTATTCATCGATCATTGTGTTCTATTTAAGTTGTAACCATGCATGTAGTCAGCAACTGTGCTGTCAAATAACTAGTGGTAATCAAGCAGAATTTAAAAATTAGTCTTGCAGTAACAGAAAATTTAATTTTTTAAAGTTTTAACTTATGCAAATAATTTTGCAGAAAAATGCAAGATAATAAACCATAAAGTACTTTCTGCAAAACAAAATGCATTTAGGATAAAATTTCCTAAGAAAAATCAGTGAAAATAATTTAAAGAGAAAAGGACAAATGAAAAATATGCAGCTGTTAGAGTCTGTTCATGTATATTTTATGTGTGTCATGGAATGTGTTAGATCTCTGTCATTAAGAATCAGTTGGATACATGTTTGATTTTCTTTTTTTTTTTTTAAAGATTTATTTTTATTATTTTTTCATTGGAAAGGCGGATATACAGAGAGGAGAGACAGAGAGGAAGATCTTCCGTCCGATGATTCACTCCCCAAGTGAGCGCAACGGTCGATACTATGCCGATCTGAAGCCAGGAGCCTCTTCCGGGTCTCCCACACGGGTGCAGGGTCCCAAAGCTTTGGGCCGTCCTCGACTGCTTTCCTAGGCCACAGGCAGGGAGCTGGAAGGGAAGCGGGGCTGCCGGGATTAGAACCGGCGCCCATATGAGATCCCGGGCGTGCAAGGCGAGGACTTAACCACATGCGCCACCTCGCCGGGCCCTACATGTTTGATTTTCAATTGGAAAATGATAATTTGCAAAATGTGTAGGGTACAGTGTGATATTTGGTATATTATATATAGTAAAATTACAAAATCAAGCAAAATGACTTGTCACTTGACATATGTTTGTTTCTTTCTGAGCATGTTGAAACAAATACTTAAAAGCACCCCCTTAGAGCGTGGGCAGCGATGCTGCATGACTGACTCAGTCGCCACACTGTGGTGTAGATCTGAAAAACATTCCTTCCTCTTTGAGTGAGACTACAGCATCTGATTACCCCCAGGACCACCTGACCTCAGCCCCCAGATCCCCCAGGTCCCCTAGGCCGCCCAAATCCCTTAGGTCCCCAACTCCCCCAGTTCTCTTAAGCCCCCCTCCCCACCCCCCCAGGTCCCCAGATCCCCCAGGTCCCCTAGACCTCCAATTCCCCCAGTTCCCTAGCTCCCCCATCCTTCCACCCTTACCTTCTCTGAGTTTGGTCTGATTTTGTTTGTTTGTTTGTTTCTTTCTTTCTTTTTTTTTGTTGAGTCATACAGTATTTGTCTTTCTATGCCTGGCCATAGGACATATTTAAAGTAGTGATTTTAAAGGTCAGTTTTATGATATCCCAAAAATTATATATTTTTTGCAACTGTTTAAATTCATGTTGAATACAATGAAGTGTCAACTTTAAAATGAGGGAAGGAGAACAAAGTTTTTCAAAATTGGTTTGAGAGACACAGGTAACAACTGTAAAAGCCTCCGCTCCAGCTTAGCTGTCTGAGAAGAGACTCTTTGGGCCTGAAGAACCCTGTCTACAAACCAGACTCTGAAAGGCCTGTTCCACCATGTGAGCTTTGAGCAGCATACTTTATATGCTAAAAACACATATTGCAATAAAAGTATTTTCAAATAATTTCATTTTAATAACATTACATTTTCAGTTTTGTTATCTTTTATGTTCATGGTTAAAGTTTAAAGCTTATTTGAAAATGCAGAATCTGCACTTTTCCTTATAATCTGACTAACGAGTAGTTTGTCCCATGTCTAGCATTAATGCATGCTAACTGCGAAGACACGCATGCCTGACATGAGAGGCCCTGGTGGGGCCATGTTTATGCTGTAGCTGTCCCTGTTACTGTGAATGCTATGCTTTGAGGTCCCTAAAGATTTATGCTGTCATGCCTCTATGATCCTGTGTCCTAGTGCCTGGTCCTGCCTCTCAAGTGGCTGCAGTCGGAGTGGTCAGTGCTGCGTAGTTCTGATCTGAGAGTTCTCGTGTGTTCTTCCCCTACCCCCTTTTGGTCTCCCCCCCCTCCCTTCAGCAGAATTGCAGCAGATAAATCAGGTTAGTCATTGTCTACTGTGCCAGGATCCCATGGGGAAGCACCAGTTCAGGTTATAGTCAACCTCCCTGCGGATGCGCTGGGAAGGCAGCCCGAGATGGGCCGCGGGTTTGGGCCCCTGCCGTTCCGGTGGGAGGCAGTGTGGATTTGGTGACTGTCAGACTTCAGTCTGGCCCAGCCCTCGCCAGGCAGGCTGCTTGTGGAGTAAGCCAGTGCATGGAAGGGTAGAGAACACTTCTCTTTCTCTCTCTGATATTCTTCAGATAAATTGATAAATCTTCCTAAAAGAACACAGCGAGCCGATCACTGCAGTGACTTTCTCATTATGTCAGCAGACATTCACTTTTCCTTGTCAGGAATCAATGCTGAGCCCAGTGCCTGTTATCACTCCAATACGGCGTTGATCAGCTATTTGTTGTGTCTGTCTAAAGACACTGTGAGTGTGTGAGCATGAAGAAGCTGATCAGGCCTGGAAAAAGAACAAGTGATCGATATTTGGGTTTCAGAGAGGATTGCTGGGGCCGCGGGGGAGGATCTTGAATGTCTCTTTCTGGAATTTGGCCTTTGAATTTGACCAGGAAAGCCACTGAGCATGTATAAACAGGAAGTCCAGTGCAGAACTGCTCTCCGGGGAAAATCCTCTGTCAGATAGATGGACGTGGAAGCACAATAATGTACAAGTCGAGGCAGAAGAGGTGCTGAATGCTTGGATCAGGAGGTGAGGCAAGAGTGATAGAGTGAAAACAAATTGAGAGATTTGGAAGATGTGAAACATGGAAGACTGGGCCGCTGGTTGGCTGTAGAGGGTTAAGGAAGAGAAGGAAAAAAGAATGTTACAATTAGCATTTTTTATGCCATATCAGTGGTGATTTTTTTTTCAACATAATTTCCAAGATCTCACATTCATCCATTAAATGTAATGTTATTTTTAACTTCTCATTTCAGTCTATTGAGGTATTTTTAAATCCTCTTTCTGTCATCAAAAAGCTTTTTAGCTACTCCTCCAAACTCCTTGTCGTTCTTGGTGTTATGCGCTCTTTCTGTTTCTTTCTGTATGTCACTTTAAGAAATGTGTTCCGCAGGGTGAACTGAGTGCTGTTTGCTGTGCTCCAGCCTTCTGAGATGGTTCAGGAGGACGTGGTTGCTCAGGACTTGTGCACAGGCACATGATTCCTCCAGAACGGCAGAGGTGTAGCTTGTCCAAGTCTTGCCTATGTGACCTTGAACAGCTACAGAGCCCCTCTGCCCAGATTTCCTCAAAAATCATCGAAAGGAAAAAAGAGTAATCCTTCCCTCAGAGAGAGGTTGCACTAATGTTCATTTTTATGAGTGTTTTTATCAATACTATGCCACAAAAAAATGAATACCTATTATTTTGATCACAAAATGATAATGATCGTTTTTCCACCACCTTGGCAGGTTTTGGGGGGTGTCTTTTTTTTTAATCATCAGCCATGGAAGATTCCTTGGTTTTTCTGAGTCCTGATTGATTTACTGTCACCAGCCCCTCTCAGCTCTTGTGGTGCTGGGCAGAGCACAGCAGCTGAGGACCATGGGGTCCCAGGGAGTTCCCCACCTGGTCACTCTTGGGACCCATTCTCCCTGCTCTGCTAAACCAGTCTTGAAGGATGCTCATCTTCGGGCACAGCACACTGCTGCGAGTCAAGTCCAGGTAGCCTCCCTTTTTTTTTTTTTTCTTTTTTTACTTTGTTTTTGATGATGTTTACACAGTTGAGAAAGATGCATGCCCATTTGGACCACTGGTCAGGGTGGGAGGAGTCAAGGATTAGCGGAAAGTGAATGAAACCATTGCTTCCAATTTTCTTTTTCTTCTTCCAGTATCTGGAAGGAGAGAAGAGGAGAAGATGC